TATATGCGCCACCGCCCTACGGTGGCACTGTACCCCCGTGGGAGGGCATATCTCGGCATCTACTGGTCGGATGGACGTCCCAGATGGCTTGAACGATGGCTATGGACGTCCGTCGACCAGCGCAATTTGTTTGACGTCGATTGGAGCTTTGGCCACGGAGTTACGGTGGAATATGTGGTTGGTGCCCGCCTTTTGATGCCGCTGAGCCCCCTTTTTCGAGCATAACTTTCCAACGACCGAATGGATTTTGCTTCAAGTTGGCTTGTATGATTGCTATGGGTCATAGCTACACCACAATTTTTAGTTTGTGCCAATTGAAGCTCTGTGGGCGGAGATAAGAGCGGTGGCGCATATAAGAAATTGCGCCACCGGTGGCGAAAATAGACAAATCCCGGAAAAATACCCAGCATTGAGATCAACATTACATCAGAATCACGTCAGAACGGGGAGGACGGGTGACTCCGGGAAAACGTGTCTTACGTCCTGACTACACAGTAAAAAATCATTCTTCAGAGAAATATTCATGTTTCAATTCAATGGCCACTTCAAATTACAAGCTCCGGCGGCGACGGCGGCGACCTCCGGTGGCAGTGTTCCCCCCGCGGCGGCGGCGGGGGGAATGGCCGGAGGCCCCGCGGTGGCGGCCGGAGCGGCAGCATCGGCGGCAGCTCCAGCGGCGACGGCGGCGATCTCCGGTGGCAGTGTTCCCCTCGCGGCAGCGGCGGGGGAAATGGCCGGGGTCCCCGCGGCCATTCCCCCCGCCGCCGACACCTTTCTCAGTTGGCGGAGTCGCTTTCTGGCCTACGTGGACAACCATAATCTCCAGAACACAATCTTCGGCAGAGCTGAGGTTCCCGTTGTCAATTGTCAGGATGTAGGTCGTGTTACATCCTGACAACTGACCACGGGAACCTCAGCACTGCCGAAGATTGTGTTCTGGAGATTATTGTTGTCCACGTAGGCCAGAAAGCGTCTCCGCCAACTGAGAAAGGTGTCGGCGGTGCAATTAGACGGGATTCTAGGCACAGGAGTTCTGACAATTGTACCTCCCAGAGGCAAACCTGGCACCCCAGTACCGCCATCATGACTCACCCCGCCTGGTCACATTGGCCTCACCGGTGCAGATGAAACCCCTCAAGGAGCAACTAGACCGTCGCCTCCTGAGCTGCTGCCGGCAGGTGCACTCGCCGACCGCCGCTGTGCTTCCCTAAGCTCCTCCGTCTCAGCTTTGGCGTCCTTCGTCTTAGCCTTGGCAACATCTTTAGCTCGTAGCGCCTCATCCAACCTCGCGCTCAGAGTTGCGTCCTCCTCCGTTCCAGACATATCAAACTAAAACTCTAAACCCTCCCTGCTGTCCCAGCCTCGAAGGGCTGTCCCAGCTATAAACCCTGCTGTCCCGGTCCCCGCAATGGCCACCGCACCAGCTATGCACTGCTGTCCTCGAGCCCTTCGGCCGCGATCCCAGCTATGAAAATGGTGTCCGCTGCCCCGATGGCCCAGCTCCCACCGCTCAGACGCCAATACCCACTACCAACACCAGGCCTTACAATATATTGTGTGTGGGTGTGGTAGCTCGTCGGATGCCGAAAGAGAAAGAAGGATGACTCAAGACCTTGTTGCTTAGAGAGCAAGAGACATGCGGGAGGCCACACCATCGCCATAGAGCATGTCCGTCAATATATCCCATCCGCGTACCCCCCGGAGGCCCCGTAGACAGTATACTCTGCCGAGCACCCCAAACAGAGAGTGCTCTTTTCTCGAGCGGTCGGTGCGGTACCTGTTATTTTCCTCCGTCACTCAGGACCAGCCGGAATAGATTGACCCCCCGTTCACAGAAGTTGTTGATGTTGGGGAACTCGGGCACCGGCGGCAAGGTGTGTCCGTCGAACGCGTCCGGCGGATAATGCATTTTCGTGAAGGGGTACATCCAGGTGATGATCGCCGTTGTCCACAATTTGAAGTCCTCGTTCGGTAACCTTGGCAGTGCCGCCCGCTGGTACTCGTCCGGAAACACATCACTATTCCGCACGAGAGTAGTCCGAAACCTGGAGCGTGCGTCCGCCATGGCTGTGGCTATGGGTTCCAACCGCCGCAGCGATTGCACACCCGCGGTCGTGGACGAATCTAGACCAAACTTCAACAGCCGCATCACCGCCTCACACATCACGTCGAAGTTGTCTGCAATAGACGACGTACGGGCAACCCCCACGGGCCGGAAGCTCTTGACGTCGAAAGACGAAAACGCACGCATCTGGGCGAGGACGTCGCCCGTGACGTGAACGATATCGCCCATCAATCCCTGCAGGTCCTCCTTCTGTGGCCCGGGCTCCGGCCCCCGCTGCCCCCGAAGTACCCAGAGTGTCTGATTATATTTGGCCTGCCAAATGGTGGCCTCCCTCCTCGCCTCCTCTTTGGCGTTGGACCTCGCGGGCACACTCGCCCCCCCGCCCGCGCCCCCGCCCCACGGCGACGACGCCGGCACCAGACCGAGGCCTCCCGAGCCCCCGGGCCCACGACTCCCATCCTGCCCCGACTCCGGCCGGAAGTTCTTCAGCAACCCAGCGATCACGGTAAGCTGCGCCACAACGTTGGTATGGCCTTGTTCGAGACGAGCGATTTTTTCCGCATTCTCAGACGCGAGCGTGGTGCCCTCGCTGGGCTCTCCCCCCGCCGCAGCACCCACCGACATATGGGCCAAACGAGACATGACGTGGGCCTGGACTTGGTCATCCGCACGCCCGAGCTCCGGCTGGCGGTCCCCGCTGGAAGCCAAGGCCCGAGCATGACTTTGAGTCGGAAACCCACTGCTCTCAGCAACACCAACATCTGCGGATGAGTGCGTTGTTGAAGCCACGTCACCTGCTGGTGAATCCACGCCACCGGCAGCAGCCCTCGCGGCCGCTGCAGTAGCGCCCGCCACAACCTGAGACGGAGGAAACGAACCCCCTCCCGTCCTCAACGCCGACTCGACCTGACCGCCAGTAGATCCTTCACTGCGGACGACACCAAGGCGTTCTTCCGTCTCCGGCGACTTGTGCTCGGATGACATGGCCCAAATTTGATGCAACCGAGAGCCGCCAAGATTCAAACCTCCCGTTCCAACCGATATGTGAATGCCCCCAGAAGCCCGCGCCAAATAGATCTCCTCCAAAGAAATGGATCTCCTCCGAAATACCTCTTGGCTGCAGCAGCCTCCCTCGTGCTTCCTTGGGGCAGACCAACAAGTGCTCCCAAGTCTACTCTTCTGGTCAGGTTTCCGACACTTCACGCTGAATCCATGCTGCTGCACTCTGATTGGCCAACAGATATTTCATCTTCCGCTCCTCACAAAACTCAGATTTCAACGCCTCTGACTCTGCAATCTTCTGCTTTCATCATTTTGTTTTCTTTTTCCGAGTGGTTTGTACCCTTTTATCTCGATGCTTTCGAAATTTGTCATTATTTTGCGTACCCCTGTTGCTCGCCAAGGGGGAGGGGAAAAGAGCGGAGACCAGGCAGGGCAACACCACACACGCCCCCGGTCTACTCCTTACGATCAG